TAAAATAAAATAAAAAAACAAACAAAAAGAAAATAAACAAATACACAAATACCCTAAAAGAAACAAAACAACAGCAAAAAAAAAATATAAATATAAATAATAAAATTACCTTTTCTATATTTTGATAGAAACATATGTAGCTCTTGGGGTGTATAGGCAGCTGTATAACTAAACAAAGAAATAAAATTAATAAATAAAATAAAAACTAATTAAATTAATTTAATATAAAAATAATAAAAAAAGTAAAAATAAAAAATAAATAAATTAATTAAAATAACAACAATAATAATAAAAATAATAAAAAAAATAAAATTGCGATAGAAACAGCTGAAGGTCTTGGGGTGTATAGGCAGCTCTATAGATATATATACAAATAAACTAAATTAAATAAATAAATTAATTATTTAATTAATTATATTAAAAATATAATTAAAAATAATAAAAATAAATAAAATTACCTTTTCTATATTCCGAGAGAAAGAGCTGAAGGTCTTGGGGTGTATAGGCAGCTCTATAAATAGATATACAAATAAACTACCGACTATCACCCGTATTTTTTAATCAAATTAAATAAATTAAATAATTATTTTATTAATTATATTAAATATAATAAAAATAATATTTACCTTTTCTATATTCCGAGAGAAAGAGCTGAAGGTCTTGGGGTGTATAGGCAGCTCTGTGTTGGGGTGTATATTTAGCCCATCCACAATCGAACCGAACGATCATAAAAACGGGAGAAAATACATTAATATGAGAAAAATATATATTATTTTTATTATTTTTATTATTTATAATATTATTTTTATATTTATTTTCTTTATTTTTATTATTTTTTATGTTTATTATATCGTCAGGCAAAAAAAAAGATAAACGATGCATCTCCTCTCTAGGCACAGCAACAAAAGGAAGAAAAAATACAGATTGAGAGGCCTTCTCCATTAAAGCTAATTCTTTAAATACAGATAAAGCATCCTGCTGCTGCTGCTGCTGCTGCTGCTCCTGCTGCTGCTGCTGCTCCTCCTCCTGCTGCTGCTGCTGCTCATCTGCTGCTGCAGTTTCTGCTGCTGTTGTTGCTGCTGCTGCTGCTGCATCAGAGCCAGAAAAAGAAACAGAAGAAGCAGCAGCATCAGCAGCAGCAG